AAAAAAAAAAAAAACACAGACTGCCAACTCTTCACGTACATTAGGGTGATCAGAATTATAAAAACTGTTTGTACTGTTAATATGAAGCGCTCCGCACAGCAAATTTTTTTGAAAAAAAAGGAAGACACAAATCGTATCCGCTGATATATCAGTGCTATTACGCCGATGATTTGGGTTATTAGACCGGTCAAAAAATCACCAATATAATGTACAATGTGTTTTATTTTCACGTATGTGTGTAGTATACTGTAGCTCGTCAGCAAATATTGTGTATAGTTTAATAACTCAAATTTGAGATCTTTCAAATAGATATACAATGCAGTATCGGGTGGGGCTTGTATGTATTTTCAGCTGTCTTTTAAAAATATTCATAATGCAGACTTTTTAGTAGTTATTGCCCGACGCTTAAAATGGAGCGTCCGTGGCGTCAACGCATGGCTGACGCGGCACGTTTACGCAATGCACACGGTGACGAGATTGGTGGTGCAATACAGGCCACGTTAGCTGCGTCGAGAAGACGTCGAAGCAGTATTTCAAGCCAAAATCGTGCCAGCATTAATAGCAGTGGTGATGAACTGCACAACTCACTAAAGGCATTGAAGAATTATATGGATGATCGAACTACGGTTGATTCTTTATTGTTTTAAGTTTTTTTTGTTCTTTTTAAAATAAATGAGTTGTAAAAATTGCACCTGTTATAGCTGGTTCTATTTTAGTTATCTAAAGAGGTTTCGCATTTTGATAAAAAATCGCAGCTCATGTCACACAAATGGAAAGAGTTTACGACTCACTGTAAAGGATTATTTTTTTGTAGACCTAGGCGAAAATTATTTTTTTGTAGTTACAAAATCGTTTTCACCAATTTCCATGTGCACAAACTTAAGGTTCTGTGGCGTCTGAAAGTTTCAGGCATACTTGTCCTCACCATTCTATAGGCCTGGCTCACAAAGTTTTATCTGTCCGAACATGCAGAGTTACAAAATCACAATTTCCTTAACGAAAATGCGGGAAGGGGGATTTCACGTATGACTGCCCATATGTTGCAGAGAGCACACCATTACAGCTTCCTGAGTGGTTTGGTTGTAAAATTACAATATTGTCACTTTAGCTTTCCATGTCTTTGTTTTTTTTTTTTTTTTTGAAATCTGGGGGCTTCCCATGTGTCCATTCTCGCAACTTTCCAACTTCTATTCCACGTTACATTACTTGTGGATTATTTCTTCTTGCAGTACCGATGGTATAATCGTCCTTTGTCGCGTGAATCCTCAATCCTTGTTAATAAATCATCTCGCGACAGTTCGATAGCATCCACAAGTCGGAATGGTGCATTCTCAAATACATGTTCGTCCCAATGGAATTCTGCGCATTCTAGGGACGGAATGTCAAGGTAGAGGTTTTCCCCATCACTCCATACCTTAATTCTTTCAAAACTTTGTAATTAGGTTTTAGTGTGTGCTCAAAGTCCATAAATCAGTCAATTACCATTTT